TTAATCTGTAACCTCTTCAGAGATTTCTTCTGTTAGTGGCTCTTCACAGATCGAGGTAATTTCCTTGAGTATTCGTATGGATCTGAGTGTTGTGACCTGACTGACACTAAGAAGTTTCTTTTTCTAGAACAAGTCCATTTTCTCTGTGACTTGAGCTAACACAAGGTAAGGTGAGGTGTGTATTCCCTCTGCGGCTTGTAGGGTCAGTAGCAGGCAGTGGGGAATGTGCTGAAGCTTTGTTGGAGGTTTTGTTTTCCCCAGAAAATCCTTCCTATCTGGCTGCTGAGCAGAGCCAACAAGCAGCCCTGACAGCTCTCTGCTGCTCAATGTCTGTCTCATCTCTGAGCTGTGTAGGAGTTTGCAAAGGCAGATTAATATTTAATGTACCTGGAGTCTTTGATCTTTCAGTTGGAGTCTGGGTACACGTAAATCCTCATAAAATGCAGCCAGAGGAGATGATGCTGCCTTTTATTCACTAATGCAGTCTGGAGCACTCTCCTAATTTCAAATCCTTCTTCTATCTCAGGCCATTTCGTTCCGCTCTTCAACTCATCTGTCAAGGATCCTTATCACCAGTCTGCTGGGTGCTCATGCTGAAACTGCTGAATTTCCAGGCTTTCAGCTGTGTAGCTGAACCACTTGGCTTGAAAGCCTCTTTGTCTGATCTTCTGAATCGTGAAGTGCTCCTGCTGCTAAGAAAAGGTGGGATGCCCTGCTTAGGATGTCCTGCGGACTGGTGACCAAGTGGTCTCCTGGGCTGTGGGGTGAGACCTGCAGGCTAAGGCAGGTAGGACCCACGTCCTCTGTTTGCTCAGCCCACAAACCCTGTCTCAAGGGTGACTGCTGCTGAGGGTTAAATGCCTACATTCAGGTGTCTGGAAGACACTTCCAGGCGTGAGTCTTTGGCATGTCCTCCTGGCTGGCTGAGGCAACCACAACTCAATGCTTTCCCCTGTAGAAAGCGTTGGCATTGTGAAGCCTTTTCCTGCCAGGGACCTCCTCACTTTCCAGTCAACCAGCACTGACTATTCAAATGCCAAGACTGACTTTAGAAGAAGCCTCTTAAGGGAAGATCTGGATAAAGACCCGTCTCTTCAGCCTTTCTTATTGGCTTGTTTTTGTTATTCCTTCTTTTGCTTGCTGACTGTTATGAATCACAGACAGGAAAAAGAGGCAGAACTGTCCACTGTGGATTCTGTGAGCTCCTCTAGGCTATGAAGTACACCAAGATGCAGTGCCTTGTACCCTGGGGTTAGGAATCTCCTTCTGGGGAGATTTAGCTGGATTCGAGTTTAATGTATGTGAAGTAATTTGTTTAGTATGCACCTGAGGGAATTTTGGAGAAAAATGCTCTCTCACAGGGGTTGATACTTCAAAATTATATCAAGACTGTGGTCAAATAGTTTGTATAACCTTAAAAATGGCTGTAAAGTGGCCAGTGGCCTTACCTTGTTTCTAGTGGTTCTGTCTGGACCTGTGCATAGGCAAGGGAGGCTGTAGCCCTGCACAGCAGAGGACAGCAGCACAGCAAATGTTTTCCTGCTGGTTTTGTCTGTCAGAGCCCTGGGGAGATGGCCTGGTTGCTGCTTCTCCATGGCATTAAAGCTTTGCATCTAAATTTCCATTACTTTTCCCTTTCCTCCCCAACTATTGCTGTTCTCGTCCAACTTTATCATAGAATCACAGAAAGACTTGGGTTGGAAGGATCTTTAAAGATCTCCTAATTACAAACTGCTGCCATGGGCAGGGACACCTACTAGACCAGGTTGCTCATGGCCTCATGCAACCTGGCCTTGAACACATCAGGGGATGAGACATCCACAACTTTTCTGGGCAACCTGTGCCAGTGCCTCACCACCCTCACATTAAGAATTTCTTCCTAACATCTAATCTAAGTTACTCCTCTTTAAGTTTAAAAGCATTCCTTCTTGTCCTATCACTATCTGCCTGTGTAAAAAGTTGTTCTCCCTCTTTTTTTAAGCCCATTTTAAGTACTAGAAGGCCACAATGGGTTCTCCCCAGAGCCTTCTCCTCTCTGGGCTGAACAGCCCCAACTCTTTCACCCTGTCTTCATAGGAGAGGTGCTCCAGCCCTCTGATCATCTTTGTGACCCTCCTCTGTAGCACTCTAACATGTTCATGCCTCTCTTTATGATCTACCTTCACCTCTAGCTCTGGTTCCTAATCCATGGGTGACAAAATTCAATTTTGCATGCACCCTTAAGAAGGCTTGAGTGATGTTACTGCAATTGTGACAAAATGTATCATGGCCTAAATATTTGAGCAGCCAAGTTGTACTTCTGTGGGTTTCTGTGCTCTTCGCAATACCTGAGCTATGAATTTTAAAGCTCTTTCAGATATACCACCTCTAGCTCTGGTTCCTAATCCATGGGTGACAAAATTCAATTTTGCATGCACCCTTAAGAAGGCTTGAGTGATGTTACTGCAATTGTGACAAAATGTATCATGGCCTAAATATTTGAGCAGCCAAGTTGTACTTCTGTGGGTTTCTGTGCTCTTCGCAATACCTGAGCTATGAATTTTAAAGCTCTTTCAGATATACATATATAGATAGATAGATAGATAGATAGATAGATAGATAGATAGATAAATACATATATGTGTAGTGGAAAATTCCTTTTTTTGTTCCACATTTTCATGGGTCTTCTTTCTGGTTGGCAAATCTTGTCTATGAAGTACTTCATGCTTGGCCTGTTACAGGAGTATGTCCTGTGGTGGAAATCCCTGGATAGCCCCTGTTGCTCCCTTGCCCCATGGGAGGATTACCCAACACCAGTCATTTTCCCTAGGGTTTCCTGCCCCACTGTAGCTCATTAGACTATGCCTGTATTGAGATCCCTTGACTCAAGAGCTCTTCCCAGGTCCAAGCATAGAAACCACTTTTTTTTTCAGGCATGGTCTTCTGGCTGCAGCTCTCTCTCCTTTGGAAGGAAAGCTGGGGAAAAGATTTGGGTCAAAAGGAGTTTACAGCATACAACAGTCTTTACTGCAGATCTGGATGATCAGTGAGAACTTGGGGGTGTATTGTGGAGCTCCCCTGCCCTGAAGTATGGATGCAGCATCAGATGGTGTAGTAAGGGTGTTGTGAGGCAGAACAACCTGGCCTGTAACTCATGCCATGCCCTTCTCATATGAGAAGGGAGACAAAATCTGCTCACATCTGATCCCCTAGCTGCAGTCTTCTCGGGGATAATGGAAGCATAAACTGCACAGTAATTCAGAGAGACAATATATTCCCCCAACTCCAAACGCATCTACTTGGTTTTGCTCCTAAGACATGTTATGCCAGTTAACACCTTCAGGCCATCCCAAAAATAACAGTTCCACCCTCCTAGACCCCCAATGTATTGAGGCATATTGACCCACATACTGGTCCCACACCTGTGCCTGATCCTACTTGACATTTTTGATGGGATTCAGGGAGTGGAGAGTAATATAGCCCAATCTTCTTGGTCTAGATGTAAAATGCACATGTCTGTTTTGCAGCTATAAAAGATGATATACAGGTACTTTCTCTTGAAACTCTGATATGATTTTCAGCCTATTGGTGTAGTACAGAGCTTTGGTGAAAGAAGGACTGAAAAAACATACCAGAAGTACATAACACTTTTGTCAAAGTATTGTCTGTCCTTTCACACAAACTTCATTTCTGTACTGTTGTTTTCTGAGAAATCTTTTCACAGCCTAATTTCAGGCAAGCCATTTCACTTGTAAGCTTAGACAAGGGTATGTTTCAAAGGTGATTCTCTTCAGGAGTTATTGAAGACTCTGATGTAACTTCATTGCATGATACAGTGAAATAGTACCTGCCTTCCACCCTCAATGACTTACATGAGTGCTGTTGTATCAGACGATTGACTCGCCACAGTTTTAGTGCTCAGGTAGATGGGAAGTGAAGTTTTGGGCCTTTAAGTTGGTCTCATCTTCTACTGAATTGCTTCTTTAGAGCAGTATCCACTCTTTCTAAGTGGCAACTTAGTACTAACATTGCTCAGTACAAGGCTAAGTGTCCAAGAAGGCCAACGACATCCTGGCTTGCATCAGAAATTGTGTGGCCAGCAGGACTACAGCAGTGATTTTCTCCGTGTACTCATCACTGGTGAGGCTGCACCTTGGTTTCTGGGTTCAGTTTTGGGCCCCTCACTACAAGAAAGACATTGAGGTGTTGGACCATGTCCAAAGAAGGACGATGGACCTGATGAAGGGTCTGGAGCACAAGTGCTATGAGGAGAGGCTGAGGGAGCTGAGGTTGTTTAGCCTGGAGAAGAGGAGGCTCATGCTCCTTATTGCTCCCTACAACTACCTGAAAGGAGGTTGTAGTCAGTGGAAGACAGTCTTTTCTCCCAAGTAACAAGCAATAGGAGAAGAGGAATTCACCTCAGGTTGTGCCAATGGAGGTTTAGATTGGGGAGTAGGAAAAATTTCTTCATGGAAAAGGCTGTTAACCCAGGGAAATGGTTGAGTCACCACTCGTGGAGGTACTTAAAAGATGCGCATATGCCGTACTTAGAGATGTGGTTTAGTGGTGGACTTGACAGTGCCAAGGTTAATTTTTGGACTTAGTGTTCTAAGAGGTCTTTTCCAGCCTAAACAATTCTACAATGCTAAGACCATATACTGTGTTTTCTACTTTCATCCTTCCAGATCCCAATCTCCAATGAGAAATCATGAACACAGAATTCCCAATTATTAGATTGCCTAATCTTGTTAACTAAATTTCTTCTGAGCTTTATCTAACCGAGTGTAACAGCAAAAGAAACTGCTAAACATGCTGCTGCATGTTTCATGTGTGTCTGAGGAACACACAACCTACTTGGAAGAGTTGTACATGTCCTTCTCATGATGTATGGATTATGGCACATACAAATATATTGCATTTGCAGTAGGATGCTGCACGTGTTCAGAAACTGTTGAAAGTCTTTGGGATTCTTATAACTGTTTATTCATTCTTTTGTTTAGGAGTCAGTGACCTGTAAGTGTTCATTATGAAGAGAGATCTGGTTTTCTTGGTGACTCTAATTAGCCTTGCTGTCCTGTCACTGGTAAGGTCTGGATATCCTCAACATATTGCAGAGGAGTCTTGTTCTGTTCAGATTCTTGTTCCAGGCCTCAAAGGTAATGTGAAAGCCTATGCCATTATTCAAATGCTAATAATTTTCTTCTAACAGGCTCATTTACACCACTGACAGTTTCTAACAGAGACAAAGAAGGTGCATTTCAGTTGCCCTCTTATTTGTCCCATTTGTAGCCTCCTTCAAAATGGAGTTTTAAGGTCCATAAGGTGAAATTAAATCTGTTAAAATAAACGTGGTTCAGAGAATGTATACCAAAGTTTCCCAGAATTGCTCCTGGTCAGTAGTGCTTGTTACTCTGATATACTGCCTATTTGTCTCTGTGTTTATACTCAGCAGTGGTACACATACCCAAAGACTGTAAAATCAGGACCTACTTTATACATGGAGAGGTTTTCATTGCCATTTTGCAATGTTATGGGAAGTATTGTATGTTTCCTAGTCTTTTGTTTGTCTTCCCTTAATTTTGGAAGGCTCAAAAATCTTTTAGAAGAAAGAAAACCTTAGTTTTTTTGGCATTTCTATAGTTTTTGTGGGAAAAGGCAACATTTTTACAAAATATTCCCCCAAATTATTGCCCAAAGAAGATGGCATAATAAATTATTGATCTTTTCATAGTAAAAAATATACCTTAGATAGGAAATCAACCAATAGGAAGAATTAGCATTTTAAAGCAACAACATTCATCCTAGCTCTGTTTTGTCAATAACAATAATTCCCCTTATGAAGGCTATGGTATTTCTATTGGAATATAACATTCATGAACACAGTGAAATACTTGTTAGCTAAGGATAAAAAACCAAAAACATGAAAACCACCGGTTTATCATTAACAATAATAAAACCTCCATATTATTTAAGAAACACACAGTGAACTTTCCAGTTTTTCTTGTAATTATACCTTGTAGTATCACAAAACTCACCTGACCTATAGTGGTATCACTAATTTCGTCCAGTACAAACCTGAGCTTGATCCAGTAGCCTGAGAACCATAGTATGGACTGCAGACACTTTCTGTTCTTGTTAACTGTTGGTAAGGGCGAGGGTCAGTTCTGTTCTGCAGTGGTTCATACAGGTAAATTGTGAGCAAAGCCTGGCCACAGGTTTGGCTGTGGTATAAACTGCCCTCTCTAGACATTGCCCAATTTGTGTGTGACTGGCCTGTGCTTGAAGCAAGAGAATTGGGCTGTAGTGGGTTATACTTGGCCAACTGACTGTAGGAATAAAAAGGTTCTTTGTTTTTCAGTTTTTTTGTGGGTTTAAAAAAAATATTTTTGTTGGTTTATTATTATAGATGCAGCATTGGATGCCTGAACTGAACCAAAAGCTAATTTTTTTCTGTTTACTTCAGTAAATGTTTTTCAAAGTCTTAATAGTATTTAGAAGTTCTGCAGATGTTCTAGTTAGAAAGAACGACAGGTTCTTCTGAAGTTTGACTAAGACTGAGTAAAGTTGTTTAATTTGTTTGATATATTTACTACGAAATAGGCATATGATAGTGCTGTTAATGTGACTTACAGAGGAGAACACAATCAAGTTAAATATATGTTGTACAAAGTTAAATGAAAGATCAGTTGAAGGGTCAGACTCCACAGCACTGGGGACTGAAGCTTTGAAATGACATTTCAAAGGGGCTGACAGGCTTTGACAAATTTTGTGGCTTCTTTGCCTTAGTTTCCTTATTTGTGTATTCAGTCAAAATGAACATCTGTGATTACCATTTCTGTGTGAAGATCATTATTATTATTATATGCAGCAGAAGTTTTTAAAGTGTATAAACAGTGCAGGACCCTAGCCCTTGGGCACAAGGCAGTTGTGAACCTGGAAAGAAGAGACAGGCTTGAAAAACATCATGTGCTAATGATTTCATTCTGTTTCGTGAGATATAAGTCTTGCAAAATTGAGAGAGATTGATGTCCAAATTCAGTGAAGCACAAAATGGCCTGATACAGCCCTAGTTAATGCAAAACCCCTAAAAAGCTCTCAATGCTCCAGCTATGCTGTCAGGAGGACTGGCTCAGAGAAGTGACAGTGAGATACTGCTGTCCCCCACTGGCCCTACTCCAACCCATTTTGATGACCAAGTCTTTTATCAAACTGAGCATATATGTGGCTGTGTGCCCAAATTTCAGCTCCCATGTGGTAGCATTTGCTCACTGCAGCTTTTAGACCTGCACCATGTCCTCCTCTGCTGGGCTGCCAGCAATATCCCCAATGAGCGAGGAACAGAGTGCTATACCACTGTTGGGCACGACTGTCAGGACTGGGGAAAAATAGGTACAGGGAACAAGTGGAAGGAATTAGAAAGACCATGGGATATGTGAAAGGCAAAAGATGGGAGGAGAGGGTTATGCTTAACAGCTGGTGCAGAAAGCAGAGCCAGATGGGGTGAAGTCATCAGGGAAAAGTACCCATAAGTGGGAGAGAGTATTGGAGGAATTTTAGAAGAATGGGAAGAGATAAAGGAAAAAAACAAGCAAACAGGAACAGCACAATGAATGAGAGTAAGTGGAGAGACTGGAAACTTAAAAAAACATTACTCACACCCAGTTAAGACCCCACAGAATAAAAAAGGGAATCAGAAGGGGCATGAGATTTGTAGGTGCAAATGGATGATGAAGAAAGCTAATAAAGACACCAAGAATAGAAAAAGGCACAAATGAGTTTAAAGTCAGCACTTTAAACTAGGGACTGGGTTTTTGTTTGGGGTTTCCTTTTTGTTTGTTTGTTTGTTTTATAAACTCAAGAGTATAAAGGAGTAAGATGAAATTTGGGCAGGAAAACCCATGGCTCTGAGAATGCAGACAGCAAATTGAACCATGTTTTAGAAAGCTGACAATATTTATAATGGGAAAAGTGTGTTATGTGTGAAAAAGCGATAGATGATGAAGCCTCACTACACAGCTCACTCATTTTCTTCCTAAAGTCCAGTTCACAGAATCACAGACTCAGTTAGGTTGGAAGAGACCACAGTGGGTCATCTGGTCCAACCTCCCTACTCAAGCAGGGTCAGCCTAGAGCACATGGCACAGGATTGTGTCCACATGGTTTTTGAATGCCTCCAGTGAAGGAGAATCCATGACCTCTCTGAGCAATCTGTTCCAGTGCTCAGTGACTCACACAGTAAAGAAATTCTTCCTTGTATTCAGGTGGAACTTTCTATGCCTCAGTTTTTGCCCATTACCTCTTGTTTTATTGGCTTCCACAAGTGGGAGGAGTCTGGCTCCATCATCTTGGCACTTCCCACTCGTGTACTTGAATACATTAATGAGGTCCCTTCTCAGTCATCTTTTCTCAGGTCTGAACAGGCCCAACTCCCTCAGCCTTTCCTCATAAGTGAGATGCTTCAGTCCCTTATCATCTTCGTTGCCTTCCACTGGACCCAGTCTAGGAGCTCCATGACCCTCTTGTACTGAGAAGCCCAGAACTGGACACAATACTCCAGGTGTGGCCTCACAAGGGCTGAGGGGAGGTGCAGGATCACCTCCCTTGACCTGCTGGCAATACTCTTCTTAATGCATTCCAGGATTCCATTGGCCTTCGTAACCACAAGGACACACTGTTGACTCATGGACACTCTCTCCAACCTGTCAAGGTCTCTCTGAAGGGCAGCACAGCCCTCTGAGATATCAGCCATCCCTCCCAGTTTTGTATCATCAGCAAACTTGCTGTGAAGGCACTCTGTCCCCTTGTCCAAGTCATTGATGAATAAGTTGAACAAAATTGGGCCCAGTATGGAAGCCTGGAGGACACCACTAGTGACAAGTCTCCAAGTAGACTGTGTACCAGTGATCACAACTGTCTGGGATCTGCTGCTCAGCCAGTTCTCAATCCATTTTATTGTCCACAGTTCCTTTTGTTAAGCCCATGAAATTGAAGTTACTACAGTTGTGGAGAAAAAACTAGCATGGAATAATCTTTCAAATCTTAAATTCTTGGTTTGCCACCTTATTTTGTCTCCCTTCTAGAATCTAAAGCAAGAAGTGTCTTAATTGTCTCAATGGCATTCAATAAGTAAAAAGTTGATTCTACATAAATAAAAGAAAACAAATTTTTTTTACACCCACGCTTAATGCATATACTCACAGAGGGAATATGAGTAATGGAATAAAGTTATCATCAGCCAGGAATGCTTCATAGCTCACGTAGTTAATATTTGGCATGATATTTTCTTTGCACATTGTAGATGGTATAGTTTAAGGAGGGCAGGATTCAAACACAGGCATAGACAAATTCTGTTCCAAAGAATTCACAAAAGGAGGCAAATTAACAGCAGTGGTAAGACATATCATCTGAATTAAGAAACATCTCTCCCAGAGATGATGGAAGAAGAAGCTTGTAGCAGTGTCAGGGTTGTGCCTGACACCTGCAATCCTGCCAGAGCTCAGTTCAGTGCGAAGGCTAAATTTCTTTTGGGGTACCTCCACACTGTGGAGCACTGCGAAGCACATCTCAACTTGTCTCAGCTGTGCAGGCAGTGCTGCATTGTGCTGAGGAGGAAGGTACTCTTCCATGCTTCCTGCTCTGAAGTGACTTGGGTGTAGACCAAAAGGGGCTGGAGACCAGAAGGGAGGTACAGAAATGTCTCTCTCTAAGTCATGAATCAAAAGCGAAGCATTATTTTTAATTGGTGAGAAATTAAAGTGATTGAAATTCCTTTACAGGAAACTGTTGTTGCCCTTCCTCAGCTTGCACAGTGCTCAGGGTACATGCAGCAAAAATAAGGACTTAAACATGGCAAAGCTGAGCTGGTCACTCCCTCTTGGCCAAGGTCTTGCTCCCTAAAACAGCTAATAACAAAAAAATGTAGTGGTCTGTAGCTGGGCCTGTAATGGGGTAATCTCCTCCCAGAGAAAGTTTCTGAAACACTCACACTAAGGAATGCAGTGTCATCTTATTATAGGAATAAATGCAGGCAAGTGTAATGGCCTGAAGCAAGAGTGATCTATTTTATTGATCCCTAATGCACAGCTTTCACTCTGAAGAACGTGTAAAGCAATAGGCTGTAATAGCCTGCTCTCAGCCTCCAGAGAGCAAGGAACAGTCATTGTCAGGATTTATCTTTGGGAAGCAAAGAACTCATAACCAGCCCTGAGGGGCTAAAGACCCTCATACAAAGCCTATTGGTTACCTGATAATAAAAAAAGTGATGTTCCCAAATGTGGCAAATTATAGCCTGTTTCATACTAACAATATTATTCACTGGGGGTTATGTGAAGTTTGTCCTCATTAAGGTCAGAGAATGGCCTATTTTTGCATGTCTGAAGGCAGGGAAGATGGTCTGGAGCCTACTGGCAGCCTGAAGAAGGAAAATATAACAGATGGAGGGCCTAGTTCAGCTCACAGCCACCTATGTCTACAGTGAGGAGAGAGACAGAAAGAGAGAGCTGGAGGATGCATATTTTAAATGTGCCATGTTTCACATCATGTCATGTCATCCCTATGGCCCCTCTCTTAACAACAGCTGCCAGCTATGCCAGAGAGTAGAGCTTGGAGGGTGCATGATAACTGCTGACTTTCCTGCTGTGGTGCTCCCTTCAGCTTCCTGGAGAGCAGCTAATGCTCACTCTCTTCCACAGAAATAGTGTTGGGGCATCAGGTGTGCTGTGCTGGCTCTGGCTTTTAGATACCTGCATTTTATTTGCTGTGGAAGGCACAGAACTTTCTTGTCCTTCATATAAGGTTTTTTTTTGTGAAGGTAGCTATATAAATAACTCTTTAAACTTCTGTTTGTTAAAGAGACTTTATGTCCATGGCAAACTACAATAGTAGTACAATAGTAGAGGGTGAAACAAGCTAAGCATCCCCAAATTTTCAATGAAAGGCACCAGGGAGACAACATTTACAGAAACTGATGTTTAAATATACTGAATATAATGATGCACCATGAGCCATGTACACTGCATAGTGTTTCGTACCTCTGAGATTAAAAGCCACAGGTATAACTAAGAATATGGAGTAGGGAGATATTCTTTCATACTTAAAAATGATCCTCTAGATGATGAATGTAGCAATGACTTCTTACAGGTCTCATAAGTGGCATTTTTGTAAAAAAATTGAGGTTTTAGTTAAGCCATTTTCACTTGAGACTTAAGCATGTCCTTAGCGGAGACTTAGAAAGTGTTTGGTGAACAGGTCCAGAAGTTTATGTGCTAAGTTGGGGCCTAATTCCAAAGCTTTTACTTAAGCGAATTGTGCTGTTGGGTTTTTTTGCAAGTTGATGATACAAGTAACATTCACAAAAATAGACCCGTTGTATGAGAATTCAGTAGTGTATTGACTATGGGTTTTTGAGTGTCTACACCAATTGCAGAAAAATCTGTTCTCCATGCATCAAGTAAAGCTGTTAGATCACATCTGCTTTTATTTTTCTCACTGGAGAGAATGGCACTCTTGTCATAGTTGCTAACAGAAAATAGCCCTGGTTTAATATGATTCTTCTTTTTGTTTCCTTTTTTATCGACAGGGGAGGCTGGACAAAAGGGGGAGAAGGGTGCTCCAGGTCGTCCAGGCAGAGTTGGACCTCCAGGAGAAAAAGGTAACTTTGTTAAAGGAGATGTTTTGAAAATCATTCCTGAAAAAATACTGCCTTTTTTTGTGATGATGGGAACCTTTTCTCCCTTTACTGGGTAACTAAATCATCCTTGGACATTTTCGTTTACTATTGTCATGGTTTAACCCCAGCTGGAGGCTCAGGCCCACATAGCCTCTCACTCACTTCCCCCCAGTGGAATGGGAGAGAATCGGAAGGGTAAAAGTGAGAAAACTTGCGATAAAGACAGTTTAATACGTAAGGCGAAGGCCACACACACAAGCAAAGCATAATAAGGAATTAATTCACCACTCCCCATGGACAGCCATCCAATGTTATGCTCCATCACATTACATCTTGTCCTTTCTCTGTGTGTCTCTGAGAAATGAAGGTTGCATCTTCTCTAGAAACGTCTTGTAAGTAGTGGAAGACTGCAATTAGGTCCCCTCTTACCTTTCTGTACTTCAAGTTATATAAAACCATCTTAATCAGCTGGACTTTGGTTTCCTTTTTATGTATGAGGGCCCAGAAAATCTCTGAGTCCTTTTATTCAATGGAGTTTTTTAGTGAGCCATTGGCCAGACTTCATCAATGCATAGCAGGTGAAGAATTTATAATCTAGCTGAACCCATGACATTCTTGTCAACACATTTCTGCAACTTGTCAAACTCCTTCAGACTGGCAGCACTGCCCTCCCATGCACCAACCACTTCTGCCAGCATGGACCTCTTTCCGCTTCTTCTTCCTTGTCACTGATGAAGGACTGGTTCCTGGAGGAATGTCACTCATTATGAGCTGCTGATTAGACTTTGGCAGCCTTGCAGCAGCGCCAGCTAGCTGTCTCAGCACCCTTAAATGCCTTCCAGCCAGTGCCATGGCCCTGTGTGCATCCAGGTGAAGTAGTCCCTAGCTGAATTGTCTACTACCATGAGTAGCATGTCCTTCCTGGGTCTTTGCTACCAGACATGCAGCACTGAGAGGCCAGAGAGCAGACCTTGCCATTAGAGAAAAAAGCAAAGAAAGCACTAAGTGCCTCAGCCTTCCCTGCGTCCTTTGGCACAAGGTTGCCTTGACAACCTCTTGAGAACCTCTCTCATCATGCTGTCTTGCATATTTCTCTAGCCTGGCATCTTGCCAAATCAATTCAAAATGCTTTAGACCATCTGAGAAGTGGAAGTCAAGCCAATCCATGATGTAACATTTCATTTATTTATTTTATACTGCAAAATTGCATTTGTTTGGAAAGTCATTCTCATAAGAAATGCTTGATTAATTCTAATAATAATGATAGTTTTCCAGTTTTTCATACCTACTAAATTCCAAAATTCTGATGAGTCTGAAAGAAGAAACACTGAAGTGGAAATGCACTGCAAGAAAACATACTTGAAACAGAAAAGAGGTGAAGGAAAATTGAATATTAATGCATACTATATAGGTATTTTTCCAGTCAGTGCTTTCAGTTAAATACAGGCAAAATTTCTTTCTACTTCTGTAGCAACATATTTTTCTTCTTTCCTTTGTGTATCCACAAATTTCTACAAACATGCTCTTGTTTAAAATAAATTCTAAGTAACTAATCTTTTCATTAATGCTATACATTTTGTATATATTTTTCTTCATCAACTCCTTTCCACAAATGCTTCTTCAAAGAAAAATAATTTGTTAGCTTAAAACCAATTTGGACCATACGATGCCACATTTCATCATGGTACTATATCCAATGTATTTTCTGAGTGTCACAGTGTTTATTGGATAAGCAAACAGACCACAGATGTAATTTCTACTCTATGGGAAGGACACAAAAAGATATCCAACCTTGACCTACAAAAACCTTCAGTTTCCTGTCCTTTCAGTCTCTGGTTAACCTCCACAGACAGTGTTTAGTGCCCAGACCTACATTCTTTCCCAGCAGTCCAAGGGTTTTCCATGTGTAATTCAGAAGCTGGATTTATTTAATAAATTTATATTTGAGGGAAAAATTAAATATAACAATATACTTGGCAAAAAGAATTTTTCCTTCACTTTGCATTTGCCCCTAAATGCACACATGGATAATCACAGCAGCTCTGTTTCTATGCAGTAGCCTGTTAATGTGTGTTTGACCCCTTGTATTTCTCTTGAAGCCTGATAATTTTTGCCTTTGGCTAATATTTGGTTCCTTCTGTTGATGGAAACTGCTAAATTTCATTGTATTTTTCAGCTATTTGAATAAGTGATGGTTTACATGAAGGAGAAACTGTGATTCTGCCACATTTGTAGTGTTTTCTACTTTTGGTAATAATTTATATTATAGGAATCACACTAATTTTTTTTTCTTGCCATTTTCTATTCTCAAGCTTTCATTACTCAAGCAAGTTTATCTAAGAAAATGTGCTTGGTTTCTTTGAACTTCATAAGTATGTAATAATCATAAAATAACTTATAAAAGAAATAGTTTTCTTATGGTATATTTGACCTGAAATGAACAGCTCAGGATTAGAAAGTACTGAAAGGAACAGCTCAAGATTAGAAAGTACTGCAAATGTTTTTGTCATATCCTTTCCTCATGATATTTTCAGATTTTGGTAATTCAGAAACTGATAAACATTAAAACTTTCTGGTGCTTACCTGAAATAAATCTTGCTCTGACTGTCCTGATGTTTCAGGGTGACATCATACATGCTGATGTCTTTGGGTACTGATTAAGGTTAAATTCCACTTACTTTTCTCATTGCTTTTAATTAATTGTATAGGTCAATTATGATGCATAGCATGTCAGCAGAATATAAGAATGCGTTGACCTTATGTAAGCCCTGGATTGAGTACAATGGCTGTTTCAGATGAAAGTAGTGTGTACTGCAGTGCAAATTTTGGGGTGTTAAGTTCATAGAAGTAACTTTCCCCACTTGCACTGGTGGCTGTACTGTACAATCCCATGTTGGGAGTGAACTCAGTTATTTAACTGAGTCTGTGAGACCATAACTTTCATGTATACAAATTCCACACAGATAGTTCAATAACAGTACAATTCTGTGAATATTCCCAGAGTAGCATGGATTCTGCTTATGGCAATCAAATAAAGAGAAGAGGGTGAATTTACTGTTAGAATACATCATCAAAGGAACAGCACATTAAAAATGTGTTCTTTAAGACATTTTCATTTTCTTAGAGCCATAACCATTTGAAAATACATTATTTTAGTATTTTATTTTCAGCCTTTATAGGTTGTGTTTAATTTATACTCAATCAGAATGGTATGTGAAGCAGAGTCACACACTATTCTTGGGCTTGGAACTCAACTGTCTCTACCTTAGCAGTGTTAGCACAGTCATTTTGGCTTTTACCAGCTAGCACTGTACTACACAATTCTTGGGCACATTTTGGGAGCTAACACAATGAGCAGCTTACAAGTGATTATCCTGGCTTGAAGGGTAAGACAGTTTAGTATCATGGAGTGCACCATTCTTGGCCACCTGGTTCCCACTGCCAGTAAACAGTCCCAGGCATTTAGTTTACTAGTACAGGCACAGCCTCTTAAGTAGGAAAGAAGACTCATTAATTTAACTGGATTGGAGCCAGAGTGAGCAGTCATTTGTATAATCAAATTCTAAAAAGAGGTAATAATATCTTAATTTATATTTTATTATTACTGATTGCTCATTAATATGTAATCAATCAATCCTTTGCATTTCTGAGTCAACTTTTACATGAATTTATTGCTCGCTAAGGAGTGCTGCAGGCAGTATTCCATATAAAAGTCCTGACATTGACAGTTGTGAATTCACAAAGCGGGTATCTGGTTCAAAACTCTCATTTCCACCTGAACTCAATATGATTTTGAGAAAATCCTTGCTAAACTGAGTGGACGAAAAGATGGCAGATGGGCTTCAGTGTAAATAAATATATTGCCTAGGGACATTAGGGACGCATAATTTAATCCATACTTACATGATGCCAAAACCCAAAACTGTCACTTGAAGTCATTAGCAGCAGGCCCAAAGCCAACAGAACACTGCCGTCATCAGAAAAGACACCAAGGACAAAATGAGAAGCTTCTTTTTACAGCTGATTTTGCTCTGATAAGCCTGACATACACTGTCTCAAGTGATCGGTGTGGTTCTGGCCTTTGCCTCTCAAGAAGGACATGAGATGTAAGAGAGGGGTACTAGAAATGTGAAAAAGAGCAGCTCCCTCATAAGGAGAAACTGGACAGGTTGAGACTCTTGCATCTGTACAGAGCAGTCTCAGGAAGGTTATGATCAAGGTTACAGAGTCACCAGATCCCATCATACCTGAACTAGGAGGCACTCACTGAAGCTGCTGGGGACTGATTCAGCAACTCCACCTGCAATGGGCTGCAGATTGTGGCTTGGGTTGCATCATCTCCCTGTATTGCACCTTCTATTGCCACCATGGGAAACAAAGTCTTGGGCTAAAGGTTCCCCTGATCTGAACAAGCCTGGTATGTGGTTAGTGTAATTCTGGTGAGGTAGATGTTTTGTGAGGGCAGTTATTTCTCTTTATGTTCATCTGAATATAAACTCCTCCATTCTGGAAAGTACCATGCTATTTCTGTTTATTTTCTTTTGAGTGTACTTTAAAATCCTTTAAATTTTTCCTATATTGTATTTTTTTCTCAGTATCTTTTGTTTCCTTTGCAAATTTTATATCTATTCTGATTTCCAATCAGAAATATTTTCCTCCAGTTTGTTATGCAAAGCTTTTAAGGTTTCATGTTGTCATTAAGGTACCTATCTAATGTGAGTGGGATGGATCACTGCTGAGAGGTGATAATTTCTCCATTGCCTGCTGTGGGAGCTTAGATAAATAGCTTAGAATAAACCCCCTAACTTTCAGGTGGCTACTGCTGTCTGAAATTAATTTGTCCCAACTACATGAAATGCCATTTGGGATTATGCACTGTTTATTCATATAAGAATATATGTTTAACATCTTTTATGGCAACATGGGCAGTAGTATTGAGTGCACCCTCAACAAGTCTGTCAATGACACCAAGCTATGTGCTGCAGACGACACACTGGAAGGAAGGAATGCCATCCAGAGGGACCTTAATAAGATTGAGAGCTTGGGCTATGCAAACCTAATGAAGTTCAAGAAGGTCAAGTGCAAAGTCCTGCACCTGGGTCAGGGCAATCCCAAGCATAAATACAGGCTGGGTGAAGAATGGATTTAGAACAGCCCTGAGGAGAAGAGCGTGGGTGTGTTGGTTAATGAGAAGCTCAACATGACCCTGCAATGTGCACTTGGAGCCCAGAAAGCCAACTGTATCCCAGGCTGCATCAAAAGAAGCATGGCTAACAAGTCCAAGAGAAGGGATTTTCCCCCTCTACTCTGCTTTCATGAGACCCCACCTAGAGTGTTGTGTCCCGCTTTTGGCCTCCAACATAAAAAGGACAGAGGAGGGACATGAACATGATCAGAGGGATGGGGCACCTCTGCCATGGAGACAGGCTGAGAGAGTTGGGCTTTTTCAGTGTGGAGAGGAAAAGGCTCTGGGGAGAATTTATAGCAGCCTTCTAGTGTGTAAAGGGGGCCTACAAGAGGGCTGGAAATAGACTTTTTACAAGGGCATATAATGATAGGACAAGGAGAATGACTTTAAACTGAAAGAGGGTAGTTTTAGATTAGATATTAGGAAGAAATTCTTTACTGTGAGTATGGGGAGGCACTGGAATATGTTGCCCAGAGAGTTGTGGTTGCCCCATCCCTGGCAGTGTTCAAGGCCAGATTGGATGGGGCTTTGAGCAACCTGGTCTAATGGAAAGTGTCCTTGCCTATGGCGGAGTGGTTGGAACTAGATGATCTTGAAGGTCCCTCCCAACCCAAACTATTCTATGATCTCATGACCAGATGTAATTGTGTAGAAACCACTGCTCCCTCACCAATCACTGACCTTCACTGGTGTGGATAATTCAGATTATTTAGCATAAAGCAGTGCTGTAACCTGTTGGTGTATTCAGAATTTTTTGATTTCCAGTTGCCAATAGTTTTTAGAAGTTAAGTATCCTGAACATAAATTACTACTATAACATCATCATTATATCCTTAAAAATACCATTCTTATTCAAGTCTGTCTAATTATATATTGGGAAGCCTGACTGCTGCAAGAATATGGAGGTACACCAGGGGAAGGACTTTTTAATCTTCGTCTATATCTTATGTTCTTTTTCTAAGTATCCTCTGCAGATTGCTGTCAAAGATGGCACTAGAGTCAAGAGGCCTTTGGTGTGGTTTGGTACACTTCTACTTTCCTTGTTAGGTAGGTGTCCATGATGTCCTTTATGTCAAATCATGAAGAATTTCTATCTGATTTGTCTTCAAGTCCTTAAGTTTGGGAAGCAAACTACTGCTCTCTTATCTTTGATGATTCAAATAAATTTGTCTGTGACATGGTAAATTTGTGTTTCTTCTGGATTCATCTTTTTTGACATCTTGTTCTTTTTCTAAGTAGTTTTATACCTTCTTGTCTGTTCCAATTAATCCTGTCTGAACAGATTGACTATCCTGTATGAAGACCCACATTTATAGTGCTACACAGGGCCAAACCCCTCCTTATTTCACTGGTTGTGCAGCCCAACATTTGTCTCTGGTATTTTATTTCTTCTATTACTTGTGGGTCTGAAAAAGCCACCAAGAAGATAATTTAGGATTTTCTTCTCTTCAGTTCCTTACAAAATCCTTGAAGTCTTCTATAATTGGTTCCAATGTATACCACCTTCATCTGAGAGATGACAGATGACTTGCTTCATATTCTCCATTCAGACTTTGTGTTTGATTTCCTACTTTTGGTCTATGGAGACTTCATTTCTTCTATTGTCCTCATTTCTTTCCAGCTCTCACTTCCTGATTTTATTAAGACTCTTCAGACTGCATTTTTGACAACCATAGGGCCACTAAAAAGGGCTTTACAAAAGGTATTAAAACTTCTGAAACCCTCAAGGCAGATGGGTCTCTCTTGAAACCTTGTGATTTATTCTGCAGAAGAAGCAGAATGAGAAAGCCCCTGGAGTGGAAGCAGAGGTTAGCAACTGTAAGAGAAAGCCAAATCCAAACAGTTCTTTTAATGAGCACAGGAGGTTTAATGTATGTCTTCATTGCTTGAGATAATACCCTTCTGAGCAGACCATGTGGCTTTTACTGGATATGACTGAGAAGCAGTTCATTTTCTGGGCAGTGTTTATGTTAAGCAAAATGAAGTAATTTTATATAATTTGTTTTATTTATGCATTAGATCTATGTATTTATTTAATTTCAGGTGTAGCAGCCTGAAAAGAGAAAGCATTCAAACATCTGATAATCTGTCAGGGTAATTCCGATTCATGCATATGCAAAGCAAGAAAGATCACTGTCAGAGCAACTTGATATACTCATTGCAAGCTGGTACTTTACGGATTTTCAAGGAAATACCCTCTCAATATACTGTCTATATTGGATAAATATCCAGTGGTAGCATCAGCACATTTATAACCTACGCTGCCCAATGGATTGCATCTTTAAGGCAAGCCATGAATCTGCTCTGAAAATGAAGCTGTATTCCAGAAAGCAGATCTTCAGTTGACACAGTGGATTACTTCCATTCTTGCATAAGAGATAAATAGTTTGGTTTGTGGTGAAAGTCTGTGTCCAATAGTGCCTGAATTTGATACTTACTGGAAACAAAAGAAAATCACTGATTGTATGATTTGCCAGTAATTAATTAGTTCAACAAACCATACACATTTGGCTTGTCTTGGTTCGGAGGAAATTATTTCTTCCTGGCTCATGCCATCAAATGGCAGTTGCTTGAGACTTCATGGAATAAAACAGAGGACATCTCTTAGCCCAATGGTGATGAGTTTATATTCTGAAGCTTGTTATTGATTGCACTTTTAAGTTAAAAGTAATGGTGAAATGGGTAATAAAATTATTCAGCTTTCAAAAATATTTATGTCTATCCAGCTGCAGCAACAACAGAGCAAGGGATCTTCAGTTGTCATAGCTCCACAACTGAGGCTGAGCTATGACAACTTGCACAAGTTCAGTTGCTGGATCCCTATAGTAGATTTTCTTCCTAACTTGTCTCATTGTTTCCATGCTCATGTGTAGATGAACAGTACACAACAGATGTCGCTTTGAGCAAAACTGCATAAATATTTCCTACAGCAGTCTTGGTCTTGGTTTTCTGCTGGATAGGAGTCTCAGAAGGCACTCATCCTTGTAGTCACTCCATACCCACTTTCCATTAATAGTTTGATACAGTGAGAAACCTATCTTATGTGACAGTATTTGTATTGTATAAATAAACCATTAAGCCCAAAGTCAGCCTTCAGTTACAGTGGAGCTACTGTCTTAGATGAAATATCAGTTGTGCTTGGATCCTCTAGGGCTTCTCAACTCCTTGATGGTTTTAATACACTGATCCATGTTTGAATACACATCTCCTGCCCCCACTTTTCAACATAGTTCTGTCATGATCAGCTGAAAGATGTTTGCAAAAGCTTTTCCAGTGGCTCTCAGCCAAGATCTGTTTTAAATTACACCTTCATGCCTTGTCAATGTCAACTGCTTGGCAAAGATTACATCACTGCCTAGGTTGTTATATGTAAATTCTTCACAAGGAATGAACTGGACCTCTGGAGTTCAATGTATATTGGGGATATAGTGTGGGTTTGCTCATTGTAAAAATTGGTATTGAAAATGTACTAGAATCTGAATGAATCAAACTGCATTGCTACCTTGTGTCTTTTGTCTTTCTGTTATGTCTAGGAGAAATGGGGGACAAAGGACAGAAAGGCAGCATAGGAAGACATGGAAAAATTGGTCCTATTGGTTCAAAAGGTATGCTTACTTCAATTGTTTCTCCATTTGTGTTTCATTTGAAAAATGTGTGATTTATGTTTGAGTAAAGTTTAGGGGCTTGAAAAATAATTAACAAGTCTCAGAGTTTACCATAATGGGGATTTTCTCATACTGTAGTCAGTCAGGTTACTGAGATCTCTCAGCCAGTTACTTTTTGCTCTGACAACAGTATATTTAGCCTTTAAGCAGCATAAACATTCTGGTTTGAGAAAAATAGAGAATTTTGTGCAGTGTTACACAAGTGTGGACAGTTAAGAGAAGCAGATGGGAAGATGTGCTGTACTTTGGCAGATTTTAAGAGCCAGAAGACATGCTTTCTAATGTTGCCTGTCCCATAAGCTTCCTATGTGACTTTGGTTAAGACATTTGGACCAATGTTTACCTAAGCATCTAGATTATGATTCTAAATTTAGGCATATCCAGCCCTTTTCTCTCTACAGCATCAAAATTTACTAGTTCTGTGAAGTTCATGAATGTCAAAAAGTGGATATGGGTACATATTCTTTGTGTTCAAGTTTCATAGCTTTCACTGGCCTTTGTTGTGGAATGACTAGGACAGAAAACGCCTTGTTTTTGCTTGGGCATATTTCCACTTTCCATATTTGAATGTTACTAGAGAAAACATGAATACTAAAAAAAAAGCTAAATAAACTATTGACATAAAAAGCTGCCTAAATTTATATTCTTTTTCATGTCTTCAGGTGAAAAAGGAGATAATGGTGACATAGGACCACCAGGTCCTAATGGTGACCCAGGTAATCCATAACACACCGTGTGTATGTGAAAGACTTTACAAGATACATGCATCATCACTGAAAATATGTCTGTTTACATACTGGGGGAAATAATGAGTAATTTTCACAGAGGCACTGTAATATTTCACTGTATTATTTTCAAATTACTTAAAATCACTGAAGTTGCAGTAGTTGCTGGACAGTGTATGTGTTGAAAGAATATCGCAGAGCTTCTCCGAAGCATAATCTCTCCAGAAGTCTAGTGGGTACTGAAGTGCAAACTGTCCCTATCATTCATCATCAGTGCAAAGGGATGTCTCTGCATATCCCACTCTGTCTTCCAGCCAACACAAAGGAGCAGGTTGGAAGCTCCTGCCCCCTCCATGGATTTTTGTTACAGAAGCAGGAGATTATCAGGAATACAGCTCTTCCAGACAAACGAACGAAAGCTTGGCATAAGAAGTGTGAGCCTTGTAAAAGTGGAAGGTTCAGATTTGGCTGAGTTCATCCCTTCCTGCCAGAGTGTACTAGAGGTGCACCAATTAGTTTTCTCACAAGAACATAATTTGTCAATCCAGTTCTTGAGCCAGAGTACCATATACCTAGCCATCCTGAACAGTTTTACAGGGCAAGGACCCTGTGCTTAGACTGAATTAGAGACCTAGGCTGAGTAACTGGGTAGTCAAATGCAGATTTTAATAATTACATCCAGAACTGCAAACTGTAATTGAACCTCATTTTGAGATTTGCACTCATAGATATAACACTTTTAAGTATTTGCATTCAGATTATCATTGCCAAACATATACCAATTTGGGTTAATAGATGGTTTTCTATTGTCTTATTTTATTGTATGAAGTACATGAATTCTGTACTTTCAAAAGTACAGAACTGCATTTTGCAGGTAATTATGTGCCTTATGTGGTTGGAACTTTTGGATCCGCTCTGTTACGTTCCTTGTGAGCAACTGGCAAAAAAAGCATGTGCAGGTTTTTGCTGTGAAAGAAGTGCTCTTAGAGAAAACTGATGAGAATAATTTTACTGAAAATTGAAAATTTTGACAAATGTTTTTAATTAAAAAATATTGTGTTGTTTTTTTTTATTCCCCAGAGAATATTTATCGATGTCTAGGTTAGCATTAATCATGCAGGGCTGAAAATCTGTGGAAGTGAGCTGAGCTGTTCTGCATAGGCCCAAACACCCCTGAGAACCATATAATGGTGTAGGGTAGTGAAGGCTCTCGGTTTCTGCTTGTTATTTGCAAGACAGTCCTCTGCAGGCCTGCCAGGCTGGGCCTTGTCATGAAATTCTTGAGATAATTATTGAAATTAGGTAGCTTTTTGATTTGGGTGTATCTGTATCGTTTCACAGGCATCCCCTGTGAGTGTAGCCAGCTAAGAAAGGCTATTGGTGAAATGGATATCCAAGTAGCCCAGCTGACAACGGAACTAAAATTCATAAAAAATGGTAGGTTAAATTTATATAATTATTTTCCTTTCTTGCTGCCTCATTTTACTGGTGTAATTGCTTGTAGAGAGCATCACTATTCCACATCTGATTTGTGAAGCTATTTTGGGGTGTACAGTGACTTGGTTTATAGAAATACGAGTGCTCACTTTTCAGCACTGCCCTCCCCCGCAGCTGTTGCTGGTGTGCGTGAGTCAGATAATAAGATATATCTGCTGGTGAAGGAAGAGAAGAGATACAAGGAAGCTCAGCTCTACTGCCATGGAAGAGGAGGGACGCTGAGCATGCCCAAGGATGAGACTGCCAACAATCTGATTGCCTCGTACATCAACCAAGCTGGGCTCACCAGGGTCTTCATTGGGATTAACGACCTAGAGAAGGAGGGAAATTTTGTCTATTCTGATCGATCGCCCATGCAGACCTTCAACAAATGGCGCAGTGGGGAGCCCAACAATGCTTATGATGAGGAGGACTGTGTGGAGATGGTGGCGTCTGGAGGGTGGAATGATGTTGCTTGTCATATTACCATGTATTTTGTGTGCGAATTTGACAAAGAAAATGTCTAAGCCTCTCTGCTCTTTCTTTATTTTAAGAAAAGTTTTAAAGCTGATTGTACAAGTTACTCCATGTTTATAGAGTACAAGAGATATTTTGCAAGTATGTGGCATCAGTGATGTACAGCTGTAAATACAACTTAGGTATTTCAAATATCAGTATTTACCCTTCAGAAGGGAAGAGCAGTAATGAGACACAGCTTGTTTGTTGTTTTGGGGTTTTTTTCTGTAGGAAAATATATATATTTAGATAAAAATGTGGATTGGATTTAAATTCTGCCCTTACAACAGTTAACAAATGTGATTACATGGCTGTAAGGGAAGGCAGAATTTGGCCTCTGGTTGTTAGACTGATTAGAAGTAGATTCCTGATAGTCTTTTATCTTAGCAAAATTTGTAGTTATAAATGTTAATTGCTTGTAGTGCTACAGGGATATTTCAGCTACAAGGCAAATATTTTGTATACTGCAGTTAATAAGTACAAATATTACTGCAAGGGTTTTTTGTACGTGAAGGTGTTTCAACTTTTTTTCAAAAACAACCAAACTAAACCAAACCAACAAATTGGGAGTCCTACCAATTTTGGAATATTTCTTTATTAAACCATTCACAGATGTATGATAAGAAAGCACTTAAGTAAACTGAGTTTTAGTGCTGAGGGAGGACAAAGTTCTTATAATTTAGTATGTAAAGAGTGTTCCCAGCTAGATGGGTGTTTTGAGGTTGGCTAAATGTAAAAGTAAGATTTTGGTTTTCTGCATTCCTTAGTTGAGAATGCATGAGGTATTTCAGACCCAACTAATTTCTAAAAGTAAATGTGGTTCATACTTTCATAAGAGGATCTTGGTTCATCTTGTTACAAAACAAGCAAAATACCAGCCCTCCACAATTTAAGACAGACAACAAATCGCATAAAAATGCTTTAACTAGCAGTTCCCTTTGGCAGGAAAACAGCTTACATGTTTGCACAGAATATAAGGATGATCCCCTGAAAAGCAGAAAAGTTAGCCAAATATTCCTGATTATGTATATAGCAGTAATAAGTGACATTGCACAAATAATTTATGTGCCCGACTTGCAGTTGCATGTGATGGAAAATGTGATGTATATTTCAAAAAACAACAGCATAATTTCACTAAGGAATTGATGAATTACTTTGGATCTTCCTCAAAGCCAGTTGCATGACATCTTGTCTCACAGTTAAGCATAGAAAAATCTGCAAAATCTGCAAAGTCTCTGACTGCTTTACTTCAGAATTACCTTGCACAGTGTTTTTAGATGATTCTTAAGGATAAATGATCCTTTGCATAGCATTCTAATCAAAATACGTATCAGATCTTTTTGGAAGATTGGTCTGCAGGAAATCGACAGTGGATATGGCATGTGGTCCAAAACAACAAGGCAAAACCAACTCGTATCAAGTCTACAGTGCTGTGGTGTAGGAACAATCAATAGTCATACAATTCTGTTCATATCCACAGAGTCTGACGTTATTTGATGAGATGCTAAATTTATATAACTAAGGGAACAAACCATTTTGCTTGCTATATTTACTCTGTGAATTTGAATCCATTATATATATATGTTTGCTATTAATTTTGAAGATGACTAGCCGTACAATAGTATCCTGTGGTATTTGAATATCAGCCCAGCTCCAGTGTGATCACTTGAAATGAATGAGTCCTTTGATTGCTTCACTTTCTTTTGATAAAGATAGGTGTGATACCTAACGTTAGTCATTTGTCCAACTGCATATTGAAATGTATTAAATAATTTGAATCTGGTTCTACACTAATATTCAAAGACTCTTTACAGAATTTTCAGGGAGCCAACCATTCCAGTAGAGCAATTTGTTTAGAATAGTGCTTTTTGAATACCATGATTATTTCCTGCCTGCTGTAGAAATCCTCAGAAACCATTTAAATCTCCAACATACTTTTGCCAAATCATTGTAGCTATATTAAAGAGCCCAAACCTGAGTTACAGATATCTGGAGCTCCCTCATTATGTGTGCTGAAGTTGCTGTTTATTTTTCACCTAGATTTTGAAAGTGTCTGTTGTATTGTTCAGTATCCTCAGAAAGATGAAAAGAAACCTTTTAGGGAGGCGGGTGGCTTTCTGAGATGCCGAATGCTCCTATTTTATCTGGAAGTCATATCACATTTTAAAGGTTGCCTTGATGTGTAAAGCATTTAAACAGTCTCAATTTCTAATAAAATTTAAGATGAAAAATAAAGGCAATGTAAAAAACATTTATTTCCCGTAGTGTTCATGTTCTTCAGGATATATTTTTGCAGGGCTTGATATATGAGAGAGAAAGTAAATTAGTTGTAGTGTCAGATCCCTATACACTGGCTGCAAAAGCCCTTATTTCACCATCTGGGCAAGGAGAACAAGGCTACTTTGTAAGGTCTCTAGCTGACCTACAAGGACAAAAACTGCCCCTCTGATGTTTACCCCTTCAAGGAACTGGGTAAGAAATGATGGAGGGATTGGGAGTGAATGAGCCCTGCATCATTCCTTTCACCCTCTGGTTGCTGACCCCCATAGGTGGACCTTTGCTGGAGGCACAAATCAATGTTGCATGTAGTGCTCGGCATGCACAAAGCCTGCTGTGTGCTTGGTAAGGTTTCCATTACTCTCAGTGCAATTTGGAAAGAAGAAAAAAGAGAATGATAGGTTAGTTTTATTTGAGGTATTTTCATGTGGATTAAAACCTGCGTTGCAATATCATTACTCATTTTGTATGGCTCTGTGGAAGCCTTTGGAACATGTCTGTCTGGTAAGCATGCACGAAACAGTTTCTCAGACTGTTCTCATAGGCTCTGTTTTTGATGGATGATTTTTCCTCATAAAAATTTCTTCGTGGCCCTTGTTTATTTTATTCTTAAATAATGGGCATTTTGGGGCACTTTAAGAAGGCAATAATAACAGTTGCTTTTTTTTAATTTAGTCACCCATTCACATTCTTGAATGAGTTCTTCACATAAAATGTGTATTTCATTCAACTAAACTCCACACCTTTAGCAGCTAAGGCTGTGTTGTTTTATTACCAGAGTCAGGGCCAGATGTGCATCCCCCTTCTAGGAGGTGGCTTGGTAAAGGTAAAATATTTAACTGGCTAAGTCCGAGGGGAGCTCCATTGCTGGTGAGAGTCCTGCATTGCTATGCATGTCTCGGGAGAGCACTGCCTGACCCTGATCACCATCCAGATTCACCACTTCGCTTCCTGGCTCCTTGGTGGAAGATGTTGCTCCCACTTGCCTTGTTATCCTGCTCAGCTCCTGGCTTGCCATCCCTCCTGAACCAGCTGCTCCTCGCTGTGCTCTGACAGCTGACATGATTGTCTCTGGAAATATGGGTTTGTTACAGGTTTGTTAGCAACAGAACTTCTCCCTGACTGAGTTTTAAAGAGTCTTATATCACAGAGGAGAACTGTAAAAAAACTAATATTCATACATTGGGATATAGAGCATCCTTATTAATGTAAGTAAAATGGAATGCTTCATTTTTCATAAGCTCAGGAAATGCCATTTCAAATATGCACTACAAAATAGCAGCTGGTCAGACTTTTTTTGTTACAGTTTTTGATGTAAAGTGAAATAAGATAAAATTAAAGTAATTCTAATTGTAAAATATGATGATGGTTCAGAATGCACAAAAACTTTTGGAGTAGGCATATTTCAAGGTGTTTACTTTTGGATTTTTTCAGAATTTAATTTCTGAGTTCTGAAGCTTTATTTTGAGACCATAAAGAGATTTGATTTTTATACTATTGTTAATATGTTTTGCACCATGTCAGTAACAGTGTTCAGCATAATGCTTGAAATATTTTACTGTATTCTTTCTGTCTTTATTTCCAATGGGATTAAGTTATCTTTTTAAGAGTTCTGCTTGCCATACTGAAAGTGTCTGTCATTGCAATAGGTTTCTTCTTCCAGACCTGCTATGACACTGTAAATGCTTTGAATACAATGTCTAGCTCAACCAGCATTTTAAAGTAGAAGATACTCTTACTGATTATGAAAATGATTCATTTAAGTATTATGTCATATAACTAGCAGTTTAGTCACTATTACAAATGTCCAAACCAATTGTTAAATAAGATAAATGCAAGCCCTTTAAAACCTGAAAAATCTTACAAATATGCTTTCATCCTGAATTAAAACAAATAGATATCAAAGTAACCAAATTTCCAGTAAAGTGAAAATTCAGAGTTTCTCTTAGGTCTATATCCAGATCTAGTTTTTATGGGAAACTCAGTGACTTATCATGCTTGTGGCTTAAACAAATCCTAGAGTAAAGAATTGGCTGACAATGCAACAATGTGCAACTTTACACTTTCTGATATGCTTCCACTTAGCCTTTCATTTGAAGCATTCTGTTCACTTAGCTGTGTATACAAATGTGTGCAGAAGTTTTTCCCAAGAGTCAGACTTTTCGCTGGAGACTCCAGTTTTCAGTTTTTGTCTTGCCTTGTGGTGTCAACAGGTCCACATTACTCAACATATCTGCCACAGATTATGGACCAAGAGATGGGCTTTTTGTCCACTGTGGAGTGCGGGGAATACTCCTTGAAATTGGCTGTGATGGGAGAGGTATTGTGCAAGACTGGAACCAGCCAGTCATCCATTCCCTGGGCTGCATATTCCTGGACAGGGAGAGGCAGTCCAGCCTACCAAAAGAGCTGACCTTGTTACTGTGGGTAAAAAGAAACCAGAATCTTAAGATTAACTTGGGGAAAAAAAAGTGCAGTGGAGGGTTTTGACTATTTACTTTACAGAGTAGCTGTGAGAAAGAACAGTTTCATGTTAATTTTGCTGTGTTAGAAGAATACAAACTCTGAATTGGGAGAGAAAGGGTTTGTGCAGAGGATGGCAGCTGTGTGCTCAAGATGTTTTCCTGCATGCATGTCTCCTCCTAACCATGATCTTTTCAATTGGATGAGGAGGGTAGTCTCTCAAAAGGGAGAGCATGAAATGGAAAGGGTGGGAGAAGCAGTAAGTGGATGTGCAGAACTGGCAGTGAGTGGGATGCCCATGAGGTGC